GAGGGAGGTCTATGTGTGTAGCACCCAAACTGCCACCTTCAAAGATCCCTGCCATTGGCTCCAAGGACCTGAGTGGCTCTCACAGATGCAGAACTTGAGTGGCATCTGGTGAGAACACATGTCTTCTATCTTAATTCACATAGGTGTTGTCCTTGAGCTCATGGGCTACCAACCCTCTTCTTGCCTAGTGGCCTGAACACTAGGTGGCAATACCAGGTTCTGTGAAGAGTGAGAGAGGCCTCAGACAAAGTTTGGCCCTTCCTGGGCATCGACCTTATCTGTTTGCCCCTCTTCTCTCCCGAAGTCACAGAACTCTCCTCCAGAGCCAATTCCATAGGCAACCTCTGAGCAAAAGAAAACCCCAAACCAGGTGTCGTGGTCGCATGCTGCACTGGGGATGCAGAGGCAGGCAGATTTCTGTGAGTTCGAGACCAGCCTGGTCTACAGAGTGAGTTTCAGTACAGCTTCCAAAGCCACAGAGAAACCCTGTCTCAAAAAACAAAAACAAAAAAAGAAAAACCCAAAAATTGTGTATTTCAAAATAAACCCCCTAATTCAATCATATAGCTCAGAAGAGAGCACCAAAACATTTTGTGGCCATTTCTGTCTCTGGGATGCCAGGGTCCACAAACACTTCAGAGTTCAGATTTTGGAGCATGTGCCTAACCCTGTAGAGTTAAGCACCCAAATTGGTTTTCAGATCCATGATTCTCTACCGTTAGCAGCAGCTCACCCACCCAAGTCAGGGAACATTAAGGAGGTTCCTAGCCCTCACCTGCAATGCTGGAAGCCTTCTATAGCTTCATACTCTAGAGCAAAGGGGGCTTCAGACTAGGTGGTGAACTGCTATGCCCCAGGGACAAAGCTTACCTGCTTGGACAGCCATCCCAACCCCAGAAGAGAGCTGGTAAGGAGGTCACCAGCGATGCACATCTGTCTACCTATATGGTTGAACCTGCATGCTGTGACAAGCCTAGCTCCCTCTTGCTTTCTTACTTTGGAGTCAGTTGCAGGCTACAGAGCTGCTGACACATAGATCCTTTCATCACCTTGGCCCCTGGAGGACTGTGCAAGCATCACAGATCTAAAGATCTAGTAGGAACAATCTATGGATGGATTATATATCTCAAAGTATAGATGCTGCCTGCAGAAGGGTCCAAGAGTCTGAAATGCCACACACAAAAACCTTTCAACTATCAAGGAGCCAGTCAGAGGGTGTTGCCTCCCGGGGTCTCAACACTGAGAATCCTGGCCTTTAGGGAGCATGTCAGACCAGCTTAGCTGAAGAATTTGGACTTTAAGAAACAGTGTCAGGAACTGGAAAACAAACAAGCTAACATGATAGTCATGAGACCCCAGAACTTACCACTCTGGCCTAGTGACCTCCACATCGATGACTGTCCCCGGAAGAGGGTTCTGGAGTCTTCCCCCAGACTGAGCAAAAAACCTGGCATTGACACGCTTCTTCACCACAATCACAGTCAGTCTTGGGTTAAGGAAAAGGAGGAACATGGCCACACTGAGTTGGTGGCCTGTCTAGGTAGGAAGTCACATGCTCTCACATCCCTCAAGGAAGAGCCCCCACCCCCCTGATACATCATCTCCCTGCATGCTGGAGGAGGGTCAGCACCTGTCTCCAAGACAGACCAAAGTCCAGGAGTGACCTGGAAGTGGACAACCACATGTCTCTTGTGGGCCCCATGACAGGCTACTCAAATATGGGCACAGACCGAATCTACTATGCTTGTCACATCAGAACACTGGCTCTGGTGTGTCCTTGGTGTCCGTACCACAACAGGCATTTTCTACTGTGAGACCTGTCTAGGAGAGTGGGTTCAAAGGCATGCGCACACCACCACCAGCTTCCTCTGCATTTCTCACAGCCAGAACACGAGGCCTGGAGGCATTTCTTCTCCCTAGCGGCAGTGAGTAGTCTTTCAGAAGACTCACCGCCTCAGCCTCCAACCTCTTGAGATGTTCCTCTTGAATTCCTTGGGACCATCATTTGTGCATACACAATCCACATGGAAGTCAGCCCTGCCTCCAGCACCCATCACTACCTTCAGCCCAATTGCTATGAAGTCCATGTACCTTTCTCCTTGCCATTGAGTGGCACTGACTTCGGAGTGGCCATCCATGTCTGACCCATGAACTTACTTGCAACCTATCTTGTCTGACTTGAAATGCCCCAGGAACTGTGAGACCTCATGTTCGAACAGGGTCTTCAGCTGTCCATCCCCTACACCGTCTCGGTACACAATGATATGGTTGGGCATACATTCATTGCAGCTACGCCAAGCCCTCAGAGCAGCTGCAAAAAGTGTGTGTGTGTTGGGGGGAGTGTTCATACACAAAGTCTGTTTCTCCCAGTTCCCAGACACTTTCAGGAATGGCCCAAGGGCTCCAGTCAGGTTACAAGGGTACACAGACCCACCTTGCAAGCAGACCCTGAGGCCATCTACCAGTTCCTGTCCACAGTCCTGAAAGATGCAGCAGGAAAACCAGCTGTTGAGAAAAAAAGCAAGGCCGTGAGGACATGGGTCGGCCAGGTGCAACTGCTCCAGGCTTCCTAGGACTCTTTCTATGAAGTTTCCTGCCATCGGCTCCACTTCTCCAGGAGACCTCAGCTAAGCGGAAGAGCAAGAGACTGTTCAAGGCACCCATGACAGTTTCCCAAATTCTAACTCAGTGTAATTTCTTCAGCAGGGGACAAGTGAGTGACCAGAGGTGTCACCAGGGATTGCCACCTCAACAAGTGCTGGCTGCTCTGTTCCTGACAGACCATGGAGTT